CTGGAAGCAGAGGATCCGTACTCGAATCAAGGAAAGTTGAGATGAGACCGGGAAACTTGTGGTAGTAGTGATTCCTCGAGATATATCAGTGTTCCTGATGTTTATTATGTTGGTTTCAGAATGGTGGTATTACGCCCTAGACCATTAGTCAGCAGTTCAGGTGCCGTAGTGGGATCAGGATCAGGCCCGGAAGCCGGGCAGATGGATGAGCAGACTAGGGAGTTTCTCTCTCTTCAGAGATTACTCGCACCATACTTGAGCAGACTCCTATGATCTTTGGGTCGATCAAGGAGGGTATCTTGGAGTTGATGGATGAGAGGCTGAGTACTTTCCGTGCTGAGGTAGCGGCCATGATGGGGTCGCGCACGCTTACCTTCAGGGGAGTTCCGTGCATGTGGAGCTCCAGATTACCACGGGGCGCGGGACCCCATAGCGAGCACCAGATGGTTGGCAGATGTGGTCAACGCCTTCCGCACTAGCAGATGTCCCAAGGGGGACAAGGTCAGATTGGCGTCCTGTCTTCTGAAGCACAGGGCACGAGATTGGTGGGAGGAGATTGGTCATGCCATCGGGGATGACGCAGCCTTGGATGCCATGACATGGGCAGACTTTACTACCAGATTCAGAGCCGAGTTCGCATCGGTTATTGAGGTGCAACAGTTAGCACACGAGTTTCAGGATCTTACCCAGACTAAAGAGATGGTGGCGGAAATTACCGCCAAGTTCAGGGAGAGGACACTTCTCGTTCCTCAGTACGCGGTTGATGAGGAAATGAAGAAGGCTCGTTATCATGAGATGCTGCGGAGTGATATCCGCCAGTTCGTGAGCCGGTCCAGCTGTAAAACGCTGGATGACATGATTGCTAGGGCTCGAGAGAGAGAGATTGACCTTGAGATGGAGAGGAAGAGGAAGCCGGAGGCGGCTCCAGGTACATGGAATGCGGACAAAAAGCCCAAGGGTTCAGATCATAGAGCTAGGAGTCAGCAGAACCACACTCGGTGTGACAAGTGTGGGAGATTGCACGACGGGGCGTGCAAGGCAGGGAGTGCCGGTTGCTACAAGTGCGGCCGGACTGGGCATATGAGCAGAGATTGTACAACCACTACCACCGCCGTTACAGTATCAGATCTGATTTGCTTCCATTGCAATCAGAGGGGACATAAAAAGTCCCAGTATCCAAGTTTAGCTGCTGCAGGGAAGGTGTCAGCACCAGCTCCTGCTACTTTGAGGATTTCAGATGGCCGTTAGGGCCGAGGCGAGACGCCGGTGGCGAAGAGTAGGGATTTTCAGTTAATAGCAGAGGAGGCGCGAGCGACTCCTGATGTGTTGGCGGGGTCGTTCTCGGTGAACGGCATCTCAGCTACAGTATTGTTTGATTCGGGAGCTACCCGATCATTTGTCTCTCTTGCATTTAGCAAGAAGTTTAGCAGAGCTCCAGGGGAGCTAGATTGTCCACTTGAGGTTGAGATAGCAGCTGATAGGACCGTTAAGGTGGCAAGGGTGCACAGAGGGTGTTCTCTACAGTTATTCGATGAGTAATTTCCGGTGGACTTGGTCCCTATTCCCCTACGAGGGAATAAAGTCGTAGTAGGCATGGATTGGCTGAGCCCCAATGAGCTACAGTTAGTGAGAGTACGCACTCCCAGTAGGGGACAGTTAGTGATTCAGGGAGAGAAGTCACAACGCGGACCAGTTCTGTGTTCAGCAACGAGGGCAGGACGCTACTTTCAGCAGGGTTGTGTCGGCCGTATTGCCTATATTTCAGATGCCCGAGAGAAGGGCAAGATGACAGTTGATGATGTTCTGGTGGTGCGAGACTACTCAGATGTATTTCCGGAGGAATTACCGGGGGTACCTCCTAAGAGACAGGTTGAGTTCGGGATTGATCTAGTCCCTGGTGCGTCTCCGATATCCAAGGCACCGTATCGGTTGGCTCCCCCAGAGATGCAGGAGTTGTCTACGCAGCTGCAAGAGCTACTGGACAAGAGATTTATTAGGCCGAGCAGTTCGCCCTGGGGTGCACCGATTTTATTCGTGAAGAAAAAGGACGGGTCGCACCGTATGTGTATAGATTACCGGGAGCTGAATAAGGTAACGGTGAAGAACCGTTACCCACTCTCGAGGATAGATGATTTGTTTGATCAGCTTCAGGGAGCGTGTTGGTTCTCCAAGATTGATTTACGCTCCGGATATCACTAGATGCGGGTCAGAGACGAGGATGTGCAAAAGACCGCCTTTAGGACCAGGTATGGTCACTATGAGTTTGTGGTGATGCCATTTGGACTCACCAACGCTCTGGCCGCGTTCATGGACCTCATGAACCGCGTG